CCAGCCTACACGTGTGTGTGGCATTTCTTACGGACGCGCATCCCGAATCGCGCCTGCCGTGCTCTGATTTGGCCCCAGTGTTACTCCAGCGAACCTACCACGCGGCCCACTTTAGGATGGGGAAGGGGAGCACGCGAACAAGAAATGACCTACAGCAGATATGGTGATGCATCGTCGACAAAATATTTTTGCGGAGAATAGTCGAAAAAGGCCCTCGACATACCGAAACGGCTCTAGTCGTGGAGGCTTCCATGCCGTAAGTACGTTGATTCCAGCGCAACATACGCTAATTCTTCCGAGAAGCGAAGAAAGCTGACTCGGCTCTTCAGCATTCAAGCTTGCTTATCTACTGTGGAAAACCAGCGCAGCATTGCGCAGATTATGGAGGGACGGCCTAGCGACTAGTGGTTATCCCTCTTATTTGCGTATAATGGTCAACTGCAGTTGAGTCCGTAGACTGGGCAGTTAAAGGCGTGGTAGTTGCTCTTTACAGGTAAACTGAACCAAGCAAACGCATGATACAAACTAGCAGTCCTTAACAGTAAACGCTGCTGCGTTGCACCAAAATTGTTTTGGTTGTGATACACTAATGCCCCGTCCGGACTTGCATCGCCGATGTTCAGCCATGTTCAACTTTTCAAAATGGCGAACAGGCTCTGCGCACCCATAGCTCAACTTTTTACACACTCTTGCTTTCCCCGATTGCTGTCTATATTCGCTGGTTCGGATTGCTTTCGCGACCAAGAATAAAGAACGCATGCCTTCAAAGTTAATGCATATAGCGTAGCAAACCACTTAAGTCGGGATTAAATTGGAAAGGTATTGGCAATCGAGAATGTTGACGGGACCCATCGAGTTCGCTTAGTCAAAGTATGCATAGCGAATGCCCCACTCTCGGGTATATTACATGGGAAGTACTTCCAAAACATTCCAAATTGCTTAAATTTCCTACACACCAGTAAAAACCCCATCTACAGTTTTTGAAGCAATGTAAATCCAAATGACCGCATAAATCTGTAGGAACGAGTACCAGATCGCAATTGGTCCTTCTTTATTTGGACTCTAGGACAATTCACACTTCTGAGATTAGACACGACCACCTTTCTGCTATCTGGTACGTAACATTTTGGACCATAACGTAAATTCACTATTGAGTTTTTTCGTGTTGGTTGCCAGTCGCTCTGACCCAATCGCGCCATTGGAAAGACTCGTTATAAATAAAAATGCAATCAGCCCTATCCGGTAAGTTATTGAGCTCTTGACCCATAACAGGCAAGTCATTGTGTATCTGTATATAAGATACATTTAAACTCACAGTATGAGGAACGGTGAGGAGGAGCTTGACATGCGAGCCATCGGGTTTGGAAGGTTGCGCGATGGGCTTAGAGGATGGAGACCGGGAACTGGGTTTGGAAAGACTGGGTTTAGCTGGGCCGCCCGAGCGGAGACGGCGTGTGGATGTCGGTCGAGAGGAATTGGCTGCTGTGGAAGTGCAGCTTATTGGAAAGGGGAGAGTAAGGTTGGCACAGAGTTTCCTGCCATCGT